AGTGTGGGGTACGTTTTGAACAGTTAAACACAAAAGCAGCATTTTCATACATACATCTTGACTCCAACATTTTCACATTTACATTAAAGCACTAAACATCTGCATCAAGTGGCCCAGACGGTGCACTATAAAGAAAGCAAAATGGTCCCAAGCATAGACCCCTGAGGCATCCCAAAGGTCAGAAGTGACAGAGAGGAGGTCCCAACTTTAGTTCTAACACAAAACTTTTAATTAAAAAGGTCAGAAGCCAGACACAGTGTTCTGTGCTCAGCACCCCGATGGTTACTGCAGGTTCTTGGCAGGCAAGGAGAAAGTAAAAGACAGGGTTGAGCTTACCGAACACTCAGTTCTCTTCAGAGCAGATAAAGACTCATTATATTGATCTCTTCAATTACCTGAACTATTCCTTCTCACAGAAGGTCCCTCCCTTTCCCCATATAGCTGAGCAGGTATTTCAAGCAGGAGCTTTAGCCTGTAATCTACCTCTGATCCTGGCTAGAAAAAGGAACATCGTTCCCTCAGACTTTCTCTGTCCTAAAGAACTGCATCAGATTGTTTCAAAAATGCATCAGCCAGAAGGTTGAATAAATACAATCTGATCTTATTTCATAGCTCTACTAAGGGTTAACATGTGCTGGTACATTTCAGCTTGTTTTAAAGTCAAACTTTACTTACATTTTATTTATTGCTACAAAGAAGATGTTTTGTGAACTTAAAGGCAGATTTCAAATTTCAAATCAAATTTCTCCTGAGTATTTTAAGAGCTGCCTGCAATGCTCTTAGTCACAACCAGAATGAGGTTTAGGTTAACTTGGTTGATTGTGTAACTAGTTTAGCCCCTTTAAGACATTAGTTGGAGCTTAATACAGCAGATTACAACCCTGATTCATGACTCAAACTTCTCTGTCCCCGACCGAGGGTCTCCTCATGACAGGCCTTTACTTCACTGATTTTTTTTTCAGGGAAGGTAAAATAAAACTAAACTGAAATGTTTGAGCTGTTTATACACTCATCAAATGTCATAAATTTGACCTCAGTGATGAGTAATGACCTTTTTGTCTCAAGAACATTGAATGTGTTTGTATAATGTTCAAGATTTTAGACTTTTGAGGCTAAAAATAATTATCGTTAGTTAAACATAATGATAAAATAAAAATCATGTAATTTTTTTGTTGTTGATTCCAGTAATGTTTAGACGTGAGAGTATGATTATTTTTCCATGTTCATCTTTATGACACTTATTTTTTTGTTCTGCCTCAAACTAAATAAATAAATAAATAATGATTATGCTAGTATTATGCTACTCATCATCAGCCTGACCTGCCAAGTTTCAAAATTTGCAGTCTTTATTGTTTCTGAGACTCTCACTGGTTTTAAAACTAACAAAAACAACAGTAAAAGATCATGAAAGAAAAACAAGTTCATTTTCATTCAGAGACGTATCCCCCCAACCCATCCCCCTCTGCACTCATTTAATATTTTCAGTCAAGAATCTTGCAAAACCTCAAATGATTATCAACACATCGATTAAAAAAAACGAAAATAAATCTAATTTAAAGTTTCTTATTTTGGTATGAATAAGAC